CTGGAGGAGCAGGACACCACAGGACATCAGGGCCACTTGGTCTCAGACCATGAGGGCCTCAGTGGTGGCCAAGGCAGGCTGGAGAATGAAGTCCCTGGCCCTACTCCCTAGGCCCTGTGGAGCCTCCCCGCTTCCTGAGTGAGGCTGGAATGAAAGCCCGATAGTGGAGGTCGGAGGTCGGATGGCCAGATTTTTCTTTAAAGAAAAATCAAGAATGTGATACTTCTTATGCTTGTACATCTTGGTACAGCATTGTGGCCTGGTAATAGTACTATTAGCTCCATTTGACAGGTGAGGAAACTGAGGCTCGGAGAATTTGTGTTTGTCCAAAGATATCTTTCTGGGAACTGATGGATCAGGGATAAGAACCCTGGTTTTGGCTGTGCACAGTGGCTCACGCCTGTAATCCTAGCACTTAGTGGACTGAGGCGGGAGGATCGCTTGAGCTCAGGAGTTCAAGACCAGCCTGAGCACCCTGTCTCTACTAAAAATAGAAAACTTAACTGGGTGTGGTGGCGCATGCATGTAGTCCCAGCTACTCGGGAGGCTGAGGCAGGAGGATCGCTTGAGCCCAGGAGTTTGAGGTTGCTGTGAGCTAGGCTGACGCCACGGCACTCTAGCTGGGCTGACAGACAGAGCGAGACTCTGTCTCAAAAAAAAAAAAAAGAACCCTGGTTTGCAGATGTCAAAGCCCCTGCAGTTTTTTGCCTTTTTCAATGCCTCCTTGACTTGACCATCTCACTTAGGGGACAGATGGGACAACTTAGGCCACACTGGGCAAGTCACACAGCTAGGAAGTGAAGGAGGCCTCCAAGTCCATGCCTGAGACACCAAGCAGCCCTCCTCTTAGTCCCAGTGGCCACTGCCCATCCCGCATCCCTCCTTCTGTTTAGGACCAGCCATGCCGGGCTCCAGGGCCTCTGCTCAGTGTGGAGAAACTTCGGCCCCCCTCACCAGCTTCCCTCGGTGCAGAGCCTGCCCTGGGCCTGCCGAAGCTGTGTGTCAATCTCGAAGGTGGCAGTGGGCGTGGCCCTGGCCCTGCCCGGGCTCCTTCTCCCCTTGGGGTCTGGGCCTCAGAGCGATGCCCATGGGCCCAGGCCACGGCTCACTGGGAGAGGTCAGGTTTGGCATCAGGAGACTCAGAGTCAGGTCTGGGCTCTGATGGTGCCTGTGTGACCTTGGACAGCCCTTTGACCTCTCTGGGCCTCAGTTTTCCGGTCCCGTGGTCATATGGTCCCGGGAGGCGGGCAGGTGTGGAGAAACAGAGACACCTGGGCTCTCCCGCTTGCAAGCTGGGTCCGTAGGCCTGCCGCTTAGGGTTTTTGAGCCCCTCAGTTTCCTCCTGTGTAAAATGAGGATAATGAAGTCTGTTCCTTCTGACCCTTAAGGAAACTAACATTTTCCCAATAGTCCTAAGGCTCAGCCTTGTGCAAGATGCTTCCCGAAGCATTTTCTCTCTTGAACTCCTCATCCATCCAAATATGAAATGAAATGTTTTGGTTTTGGTCTTTCATGCAATGTCTCTTTGCATTCCCCTCCTGGTCTGAGAGTCTAGGGGCGCAGTCCTGGATGGCTCCCTGGAGAAGGTGGCACTTGGTCTGCGACTAGAAGGATAGAGTGAAACCCCTGGTCTGTGGTCAGGAGAGATCAGAGTCCTGGCCTCTGGATGCACCCCTGGGTGCACCTTGGTTTCCCCGATGTCCGGAGAAACAGGTGCTGGAGCTTTGCTCAGCTGAGCTGCCACAGCCAGCCCCAGCCTCCCTGGGTTCGTGGCCATGGCTTTTCCTGAGCTGGCTAACAGCTCTGCGAACTCCCTGCTTGCCTGCTTCAGTGCCCACTCTTTGCGCCCTTGTCCCCGTGCACATGCTATGCCCTCGGCTCCAAATGCCTCTGGCTCATCTAGTCCTGGTGCTCTCCTACTCATTCTGCAGGGCCAGCACAAAAGTCTCCTCCTCCGGGAAGCCTTTCTGGATACTCCAGGCCTCTGGCCATTGTCGCCTCTTGCAGGTAACAGTCTCTGGCCTGCTGTAACAGTCACATATTTGACCTGGCCACCAAAGAGCCCTGCTTTGGGGCCTGGGCCTGCACCCTTGACATTGTATTCCCAGTGATTTGTCCAAGGCCACCCCGGGGATCAGGGGCAGAGCCAGGCTGGAACCCAGGTCTGTGAGGTTCTCTGAGAAAGCTCCCCGCCCTTTGCCTGGCTCTCAAGTGGCACTTAAGCAGTTTTTGTTGTGAAAGCAGACACTGGCATCTCGCTGGAGTATGAGAGTGGGGAGATGGGTGTGAGGCAGGTGGCCCTGCTCTGAGCTGCAGAACTCCTGGCGGGGGTCGAACCATCTTGCAAACTGTTTGCTCCCCTGGACACACTGCTCCAGAAGCCACCTCCCCACCTCCCGCAATGCCTGGCACTGTGTAGACGGGGCACTAGCCTGCCTGCTACTGCCTGCTTCCAACCCTACACGGGCTCCAGTTTCTCCCTCAGAATACAGGGATTTACAGTGACTTCTTACTGGGCACTGTGTGTGCTTCTGGCCTTGGCTATGTGTGTACATGTATGTGTGTATTGGGGGAGGGGGTTCTGCCTCAGTTTCTCTCCTGGTAGCAGCCTTCGTGTCCTCGACAAGCCTTCCACCAGTGTCCCATGGAGAGCTGGGGAGAAATGTACTCTCCCATGGCCCACCTGCCACTTTGGATCTCCTGAGACTCCAGCCAATTGCCCTTTGGGGAGGGGACAGGGGAGGGGACAGGAGAGGGGACAGGGGAGGGCCACCTTTTCCCTATTTACCCGAAGGCATGGATGAGGACAGTGCCTAGGACGCCTTTGTGTGGTGTGGGGGGAGGAAACAGGGACACTGACCAGACTCCTGGTCACATGTGCTCTCACCTGGCTGACTTGCTATGTGACCTGGGCCAACTGGCCCAGCATCTATTGGCTTCAGTTTTCTTTACTAAAGTGAGATGGTCACACCAAGAGGAGGAACAGTCAGCATTTCTTAAGCACTTATGGAGTGCCAGGCGCTGAGCCGAGCACTTTACTTCCTTTAGCTCCTTTAATCCTCACGCCTTGCGAGGGAGCCTGGGAGCCATGCCCACTCTATGGGGAGTGGAGGCGCAGGCGGGCGGAGGACCGTCTCCCGACCACCCATGCGGGAAGAGGCGAGGGCCGCGTGGTCCTGACTGCTGGGTGCTTGGAGTCCTGTGGAGCGCGTGCAGGTGTGCAGGCGAAACTGTGACCACGACACTGCAAGTGCTAATATTTGTAGATTGTCACAGCCAAGGGCTGTACAAGAACCACCTCATTTAATTCCTATGACAAACCTGCTAGGAGACCTGGTTATTATCGCTGCTTTACAGAGAAGGAAATTGAGGCAAGTTGAGGAACTTGGGCAAGGTCATCTGGCTACTTTGTCAGGAGCCAGGGTTGGAATCGAGGAAGGTCTGACTTCAGAGTTTATAAGAGACGATGTGAATCACTCTCCTGGCACAGAGGAGATGGTATACAGTAGGTGCTCAATAAATAATTGCTGAATTGAACTGAAAGAAAAAAAACCCACAAAGGGATCAGGTCTTCGGGTCCTGTGGTTCCAGCTTTGTTGTTTCCACGGGCTTCCTATGCTAAAGGTAGCCCCGGGGACAGCTTTGAAGATTGCGCCGACCTTTTGGAGGGTCTCCTGCAGTCTCCAGACCCCACCCTCCCACCTCGCAGCCCTCCCCCCCACCACTGCATTTCATCTTCCAGCCCTTTCTTTTTTTTTAAAAAAAAGTCAGCATTACTGAGGAATAATTTACAAACTGCACCCATAGTAATTGTACAGTTCAATGAGTTTTGACAGAGGTATACAGTGTTATAAACAGCTCTGCACTTGAGATAGCACATATTTCCTCATGCCTCTTCCCAATCAATCCCTCTCCCTACCCCAGACATGATTTGAATTCTATCAACACAGATAAGTTTTTCTTAAGACACAGTCTCACTCTCTTGCCTGGGCTAGAGTGCCGTGGCGACAACCTCAAACTCCTGGGCTCAAGCGATCCTCCTGCCTCAGTCTCCTGGGTAGCTGGGACTACAGGCACGTGCCACCGTGCCTGGCTAATTTTTTTTTTTTTATCTTTAGTTGTTTTGGCTAATTTCTTTCTATTTATAGTAGAGACTGGATCTTGCTCTTGCTCAGACTGGTCTCAAACTCCCGATCTCAAGCAATCTGCCCGCCTCCGGCTCCCAGAGCGCTAGGATTACAGGCATGAGCCACCACGCCTGGCCCAACACAGATGAGTTTTGTTCATTCTAGAACTTTCTATAAATGGAATTAGACAGTATGGCCTGTTTTGTGTAGATGCATCTGTGTTGTATCATGCATAAAAAGTTCGGCCCTTTTTATTATGGAGTACTTTTCCAGAGAATGGACATGCCACAGTTTGTTTATCTATTCACCAATTGGGATACACTTGGGTTGTTGCCAGTTTTAGGATTCTATCAATAAAGTTGTTATGAACCCACATGTGCAAATCTTTGAATGAACATGTTTTCATTTCTCTTGGGTCAGTGCCTAGCAGTGGACTTGTAGAGTTGTATGGTAAATAGATATCTTACTTTATAAGAAACTGCCAAATTCTTTTCCAAAGTATTTGTACAATTTTAGCCACCAGGAGTTCCACTTGGTCTATATCTTGTCAACACTTGGTTTTGTCAGTCTTAACTTTGAGCTATTCTGGTGAGTATGTAATGGTAACTCTTTGTAGTTTTAATTTATAATTCCATGACAACTAACGATGTTGAAAACGTTGAGGCTCTTATGTCTTTTTCTGTAAAAACATCTCTTTGAATCTTCTGCCCAGTTTTATTGGTGGTTTGTTTTCTTCTTATTGAGCTGTAAGGATTCTTTGTATAAATTCTTGACACAAGTCCTTTGTCAGATATTTGTGTCACAAAAATTTTTCCACAGTTGGTGGCTTGTCTTTTTACTTTCTTTCTTTCTTTCTTTTTTTTTTTTTTTTTTTTTTTTAGGCAATTACTGCGAGCCACTCTAGTAATAAATTGAACCCTGATTTACAGCCGGTGGGTCAGAAGCACAAACCTGGGGATTGTGATGGGCCTCTGAAGTGGAGGCCGGTCTTGTGGGACTGAGCCCTGAACCTGCGTGATCAACACTACCGCCAGGTAGACAGTGTCTGCTTTGAAGTGAATCGCAGGACTCCTGGCTGTGTCTGCAGCAGAACTGCTTGCTTGCTGGTGGGGACAAATCCCCACTAACCCTCCTTTAGCAGATGAGGTAACTGAGCCCCAGAGAGGGTAAGCGACTTGTTTAGGGCAGCCCAGCTAGGAAGTGGAGGCCTGTGGACAAGGCCTTTCGGGCATGTGAAGTAGTAGGTAAGATGATCCTAAAGGGTGAGGTTCAGCCCGTGGGCAGTGCCAGGAGAAGCCAGCCTGAACCCTCAGGTGGGGTGGGCCAGGGACGTCTTAGGCAGGCCCGCTGCAGAGGCCCCCAGTTGCTCTCTCTGGGTGCTCTGCCCCTGCTGGGGTGGGCTGCAGAGAGGCAGGGAAGCCTGGGAGGCACAGAGAGCCACTTTTAGAGCCCCTCCTTGGGGGATTTTAATTTCTGGGAAAAGTCTATCTTCATGTGAAAAAAAAATTGTTTAGTTTTTCTTTTTTATGTGTTTGTTTTCATGCAAATTGTCTGGCAGTGGACACGGCCAGGGGAATTCAGAGGGTGGAGACAGTAGATTTGGAAGTTCAACTGTGAGGCTATTAGGGGCCACGTGGGCCCTGCCACCTAGTGAGTGTCCGGAACAGGGCTTGGCATAGTGGGCGCCACCATCGGCCTCTCGGCCTTCGCCTAAGCTGTCGCTTCCACCGGAATGCTGTTCCCTGCTCGGCTGCTCAGACCCCTCCTGTGGGGTGCAGGCCCTTGAGCCCACTCCCTGCCGGCCCTGGCCCCTGCCCCAGCGCCTGGCTCTGCCCCCTGCCTGGGTCCGGTCTCTGGGCTCCCCAGGAGAGGTTTAGTCCGGGCTCTCCTCTCCGTCCAAGAGGACGGGCCCAGCCCCCGTGGTGGAGAGAGCCATGCGAGGCCCACCTGGCACCATCTTCGCAGGCCTGGGCGTTTCAGTGTGAGCCGGGACAGCCCTGGTCACCCTAACTGGAGCCGCTCGTTCCGCAGTGCGAGCCCACGACCCTGGACCTCCAGATTCCCAGGCCAGCACCATGTCCCGATGGCGTCACCAACGCTCTCTCGCGGGGGACACTGAGGCCCAGAGCGGCAGAGACTGGCCAAGGCCACGGGTAAGTCAGAGCTGAGAAGGGAGCTGCCAGCCTTTTTAGCCTCTGGATAGTTCCTGGGTCCAGGTCTGTTACTTCCCTTGGACAGAGCCCAGAGCGGGCGACACCTGGGAAACGGCCTCCTCCAAGACACGGGGACTTGCTGGGCCTTGGCATCTGTGCGCTGAGTGCCACCCTGCGCCACCCCAGACCCCCGGCCCGAGCTCAGCGGTTGGAGGGGGCTGCGGGGGCTGGCGCTAGCAGGGCTCCCTTATCAGATCTTGCACCTGCGCTTCCTCTCCCCTCCCGGCCTCGGCCCGGCCCCCGCCCCCGCCCCCTGCCGCCTTGTGGCCCTTTCCTCTCTCAAGTGACGCTGCTTTTCCTGTCACCAACACATGCAGCACCCAGAGATGTTTATTTCTGTTGCTTTTAAAAGTTTCTTTCTGGGGGGGTGGGTGAGGGGTTGTTTACGGGGCCCTGCTGCCAGGCCGAGCTGTGGGCCGCAGCTGGGGCCTGGCGGGGCTGGCTTGGTGGAGGCGTCCGGGGCCCATGCAAAGGCAAGGAATGAGGACTCGACACCTCCTGTGTGCCTCCTCTGGGCTGCTGTCTTCAAAGGTCACCATTCCACCTCCCCGTTCCTTCTCTACGTTGTCTCTACCCACACGAGGGCCAGGCTCTACCCAGCCAAGGAACACGGCTGCCCAAGGCCTCTGTCCTGGGGCCTCGGCCCCTGCGTAGATAGGGCATGAGCTCTGTGAGCTGGATCTGATTTTCAAGTCCTCCAGCTGTGTGACCTTGAGCAAGTCACATAGCCTCTCTGAGCGTTGGATGCCTTAACTGTCAAGTGAGAGGCACAGGGACGTCTCCAAGAGCTGGTGGACTCTGGGCGCTATGAGGCAGGGGCTGGGGCTGCCGTGAGCATAACAGGGGCTTCGGGGAGTTCCAGTCATCGGCCCGGTTAGGGTCACTGGCCGAGGGAATAGGGAGCTAAGGAAGGTGTGTGAACAAGGGAGAGCTCGGATTGAGATCCTGTAGGCAGCAGAGGGGTGAGGGCCGACGGGGAGAGGTGGGGCTGAAAGGCCGTTGAAGAGGACTTTGACTTCCTTTCCAGAAAAATAAGGTGGCCGTCTCCCACCAGGAGCAAGGGTCGTCTGTCCCCCAGGCCAGACTGTCCCCCCTGGGCAGCCCAGGCTCCTGCCCAGACAGAGACCTGGGCCGTGGACACCTCGGCACCAGAGGTGGTCTGGGGGCCTCCTCCTCCTCTGCCCGTCCAGGCGGTCTCAGTGCCCCCGGGGGTGCCGGCAAGGACGGCAGCTCAGGACGTCAGGGCACGCGGAGGGCCACGTCCTCTGTGACAGGAGCGAGCAAGGCGCCTTTTTTTGTGAAGCGAGCAGTTCCTCTCCGTGTCCCCCTGACATGTCATAGGCGTTTTCAAAAACGAGCTATCCTTTGCGGCCTGCATTGGGTTTCCCTGGGGACAACCCAGGGTAGTAGTCGAAGAGGCCCCCTTTTCCCGAGGTTGTTGGATGGAAGGGATGGAGAGTGGGCCCACCTCGTTCTCCAAAAGGGTCTTTTTTTTTTTTGAGACAGAGTCTCACTTTGTTGTCCAGGCTAGAGTGAGTGCCGTGGCATCAGCCTAGCTCATAGCAACCTCCAACTCCTGAGCTCAGGCGATCCTTCTGTCTCAGCCTCCCGAGTAGCTGGGACTACAGGCATATGCCACCATGCCCGGCTAATTTTTTTTTGTATATATATTTTTAGTTGTCCAATTAATTTCTTTCTATTTTTAGTAGAGACAGGGTCTTGCTCAGGCTGGTTTTGAACTCCTGGCCTTGAGCAATCCACTCGCCTCGGCCTCCCAGAGGGCTAGGATTACAGGCGTGAGCCACCGCGCCCGGCCCAAAAGGGTCTTTAATAGCAGAGAGTTTCAGGCTCGCCGGTCACTCTGTGGCCATTATACCCATTTCCCAGATAGGTAAACTAAGGCCGGGAGTGAGACCCCAAGCTTCCTTACTCCATTTCCAGCCAGGGCAGAGTCCCTCGCACAGGAGAAGGGACGCTGCCCGTCAGCCCTGCGCCTGTTCCCACGTGTGGTTCTCACCTAGTCTTCACGGCGGCCCTGACGCGGAGCTGGGCTTCACGCACCCACTCACTACCCACCACCCTGGGAGCGGGGTTCAGGGCAGAAGGGTTTACAGATGGTGATGCTGGCCGCTCCCCTGCGGCCTGTTTCCTTCCCTGGGGGATCCGGGGGCTGTCGCAGTCCAGGGCTGTCCTCCGCGCAGACAAGATGCCACAGGTGAGGCCTCACCTTGAGGAGTGAGGCCCCGGGGAGTCTCTGGGGGCTGGGAGTGGACGAGGGGCAGACTGGGGAGAAAGGCCGGCGAGAGAGGACCCAGGACCGCGAGAGACCCTGGCCTGCGCGGGACCCGGCCTCAGCCACGCCTGGGAGGCCACACCTAGCCTCGGCTCTGACCTTGGCCTGGAGGAGCAGGACACCACAGGACATCAGGGCCACTTGGTCTCAGACCATGAGGGCCTCAGTGGTGGCCAAGGCAGGCTGGAGAATGAAGTCCCTGGCCCTACTCCCTAGGCCCTGTGGAGCCTCCCCGCTTCCTGAGTGAGGCTGGAATGAAAGCCCGATAGTGGAGGTCGGAGGTCGGATGGCCAGATTTTTCTTTAAAGAAAAATCAAGAATGTGATACTTCTTATGCTTGTACATCTTGGTACAGCATTGTGGCCTGGTAATAGTACTATTAGCTCCATTTGACAGGTGAGGAAACTGAGGCTCGGAGAATTTGTGTTTGTCCAAAGATATCTTTCTGGGAACTGATGGATCAGGGATAAGAACCCTGGTTTTGGCTGTGCACAGTGGCTCACGCCTGTAATCCTAGCACTTAGTGGACTGAGGCGGGAGGATCGCTTGAGCTCAGGAGTTCAAGACCAGCCTGAGCACCCTGTCTCTACTAAAAATAGAAAACTTAACTGGGTGTGGTGGCGCATGCATGTAGTCCCAGCTACTCGGGAGGCTGAGGCAGGAGGATCGCTTGAGCCCAGGAGTTTGAGGTTGCTGTGAGCTAGGCTGACGCCACGGCACTCTCTGGCTGACAGACAGCGAGATCCTGTCTTCAAAAAAAAAAAAAGAACCTGGTTTGAGGATTCAAAGCGCCCGTGCAGTTTTTGCCCTTTTCAATGGTCCTTGACTTGACCATCTCACTTAGGGACAGATGGGGACCAACTTAGCCACACGGGCAGGTCACACAGCTAGGAAGTGAAGGGAGCCTCCAGTCCATTGCCTGAGGACACAAGCAGGCCCTCCTCTTATTCCCAGTGGCACTGCCCATACCGCATCCCTCTCTGTTTAGACCAGGCCATGCCGGCTCCAGGCCTGCTGATCAGTGTGGAACTGTCGGCCCCCTACCAGCTTCCCTCGGTGCAGAGCCTGCCCTGGCTGCGAAGCTGTGTGGTCAATTCGAAGGTGGCAGTGGGCGTGGCCTGGCCCTGCCCCGGCTCCTTCTCCCCTTGCTGGCCTCGAGCGTGCCCGATGGCCCAGGAGCCACGCTCACTGGGAAGGTCAGTTGGCATCAGGAGACTCAGAGTCAGGTCTGGCTCTGATGGTGCTGTGTGACCTTGGACAGCCCTTGACCTCTCTGGCCTCAGTTTTCCGTCTCCCGTGGTCATATGGTCCCGGGAGGGCGGCAGGTTGGAAACAGAGACACCGGCTCTCCCAGCTTGCAAGCTGCGTCCGTAGGCCTTCCGTTAGGTTTTGAGCCCCTCGTTCTCCTGTGTAAAATGAGGATATGAAGTCTTCCTCTGACCCTTAAGGAAACTGAACATTTTCCCAATATCTAAAGTCAGCCTTGTGAGATGCTTCCGAGCATTTCCTCTTGAACTCCTCATCCATCCAATATGAAATGAATGTTTTGGTTTGGTCTTTCATGCAATTCTTTTGCATTCCTCTCCTGGTGTGGATCTAGGGGCGCAGTCGCTGGAGGCTCCTGGAGAAGTGGACACTCTGGTCTGGCACAGAAGGATAGAGTGAAACCCTGGTTCTGGGTCAGGAGAGATCAGAGTCCTGCCTCTGGATGCACCGCTGGGTGCCCTGGTTTCCCGATGTCGGAGAATACAGGTGCTGGAGCTTTGCCAGCTGAGCTCCACAGCCAGCCCCAGCCCCCTGGGTCTGGCCATGGCTTTTCCTGAGCTGGCTAACAGCTGCGAACCCTGCTTGCCGCTTCATGCCCACTCTTGCGCCCTTGTCCCGTGCACTGCAGTGCCCTCCGGCTCCAAAGCCTCTGGCTCATCTAGTCTTGGTGCTCTCTATATCTGCAGGGCCAGCACAAAGTCTCCTCCTCGGGAAGCCTTCTGGATATCCAGGCCTCTGCCATTGTCGCCTCTGCAGGTAAACAGCTCTGGCCTGCTTGTAACAGTCACATATTTACCTGCCCAAAGAGCCCTCTTTGGGCCTGGTCCTGCCACCCTTGACATTGATATTCCCAGTGATTGTCAGCCCCCCGGGATCAGGGCAGCAGCTGGAACCGTCTGTGAGGTTCTGAGAGACTCCCCGCCCTTTGCCTGGCTCTCAGTGGACATTAGCAGTTTGTTGTGAAGCAGACACGGCATCTCGCTGGAGTATGAGAGGTGGGAGATGGTGTGAGCAGGTGGCTCCTGAGCTGCCACTCCCTGGCGGTGGTCGAACCCCTCTTCAAACTGTTTGCTCCCTGGACACACTGCTCCAAACACTCTCACCTCCCCCGCAATGCCTGGCCATGTTGTACGACGGGGCAACTAGCCTGCCTGCTACTGCCTGCTTCCAACCACCGGCTCCAGTTTCTCCAGAATACAGCGGATTTACAGTGATTCTTCTGGGCACTTGTTGCATTCTGCCTTGGCTATGTGTGACATTGTTTGTATGGGGAGGGGTTTTGCCTCAGTCTCTTCGTAGCAAGCTCGTGTCCTCGGACAAGCCCTTCCACCAGTGTCATGGAGCTGGGAGAAATACCTCCCATGGCCCACCTGCCACTTGG